GGATGGGATGGGATGGGATGGGATGGGATGGGATGGGATGGGATGGGATGGGATGGGATGCATGGAGTGGGGTGGCATGGGATAGATGGAGTGGGATGGGGCAGGAGGGATGGAGTGGGAGAGATGAGAGTGGGGTGGTATGGATGGAATGGGGTGGGGTGGGATGGGACATGATGGGAAGAGACAAGTGGAGAGGTGAGAAGAGAAAGGACGGGATGGGCTGGAATGGGATGCAGGGCTACGGATCCCCACCATCCCCTTGCAGCTCAACGCCTCCGACGACCGGGGCATCGACATTGTCCGAGGGCCCATCCTGAGCTTTGCCAGCACCAGGACCATCTTTAAGTACGTGGTGGGTCTGTGCTCCCCAAAGCTCCCCATCCCTTTGGCACTCTCCTGCCCCCATCCTCGGCTTGGGAAGGGGATCTGGGAGCTCCCGGGGTGGGCAGCAGGTGGGGTAGGTGAGGATGAAAGCATTTCCCAGGAATCAGGGTGGGAACAAACATCCCAGCTCCCCCTTCTCCAGCACCAAACCCACCCTTTTTCTAGGAAAGGCTTCAAGCTCGTCATCCTGGATGAAGCTGACGCCATGACCCAGGATGCTCAGAACGCCCTGAGGAGAGGTGAGGGACACTGGGAATCGCACACTGTGGGAATCCCACACTGTGGGCACCCACCTTACCCAGCACAGGGCMGGAATTGGGATGAGGCAGCAGGCAAGGATCTTCCTCCCCTCCCTCCTTTTTGCAGTAATTGAGAAGTTCACAGAAAACACCCGCTTTTGCCTCATCTGCAACTACCTGTCCAAGATCATTCCCGCCCTGCAGTCCCGCTGCACCCGCTTCCGCTTCGGCCCGCTGACCCCGGAGCTGATGGTGCCGCGGCTCCAGCACGTCATCCAGGAGGAGGGGTGAGCGGGTGGGGGTCCCTGCACACCCCCTGTCCCCATTCCCTGCCAGGCAGGAGCAGCAGGTGGCATTCCTGCTGTGCCATCTCCCTGGATGTCGTTCTGCAGGGTGGACGTGAGCGAGGATGGGATGAAGGCTCTGGTGACCCTCTCGAGCGGGGACATGCGCAGGGCCCTCAATATCTTGCAGGTGGGACCGTGGCTGTCTGCCCCTGGCTGCCAGCTGAGCTKGAGCAGCCTCTTCATCCCTCCTGCTCCCTCCTCTTCCTCAGAGCACCTCCATGGCCTTCGGGAAGGTGACGGAGGAGAGCGTTTACACCTGCACGGGACACCCSCTCAAGTCCGACATCGCCAACATCCTCGACTGGATGCTGAACCAGGATTTTTCCACTGCCTACCGCAGTATCCTTTGCCCTGGGGGTTATTCCCAGCTGGGATAAACCCTGCTCTTCCCCASGGATCTGTGTCTGGGGTGGGTGCTGCTCGCTGGGGAGGCCCCTCAGGGTTGTCACGGACACGAGGAGCAGGGTCTGGCAGGGAGAAGCCCGGAAGGAAGGCCTTGACTCGCTGCCATCACAGAAATCATGGAGCTGAAGACGCTGAAGGGCCTGGCCTTGCAAGACATCCTCACCGAGATCCATCTCTTCGTGCACCGAGGTGGGCACGGGGTCCAGCTCTGGGTGACCCCAGAGAGGCCACACCTCCCCCTGGCCTTCAGCAAGCATTTCCTTCTCTCCACAGTCGACTTCCCGCCCTCCATCCGCATCCAGTTGCTGATCAAGCTAGCAGACATCGAGTAGGTGACACTGCCCTGCTGTGGGGACCCCAGGGTGGCTCCTGGTGACACCCAGCCCATGGCTTTGGGGTGCACCCACAGCAGTGCCAACCCCCAGCCCTGCCCTTGGCCCCCTCCCCAGGTACCGCCTGGCCGCTGGCACCAGCGAGAAGATCCAGCTGAGCTCCCTGGTCGCYGCCTTCCAGGTCACCAGGGACCTGGTGGTGGCCGAAGCCTGAGTCCTGCCAGGCTGATCCGCTGCTGGGTTTGGGAAGGACCATCAGCCCCGTGCCTGGAACTGCTCCCTGCAGCTTCCCAGGCTCTTTCTGGAAGCCTCGAGCACACAGTTGGGGTGAAAAGTCAGGTAGCGTTCTACCCAAGCTCCATGGGGAAATACAGGTGYCTCCACAGCCCAGCAGCTCACACTGGTGTTTGCTTTTTCCTCCTGGAGGGAGGTGGGGATTAGGGAAGCACCARCTTCCTGCGTTCAGCTGTTCCCGAGGGAAAAGCAACATCCTGGGGTGGTTTGGGAGGAGAATTCCCTCCACAGAGCCTTCCAGCACATAGGGAATGTGCTGGAGTAGAGGGACAAACAAAACTGGCTCTGTGCTCAGCATGGCTGGGAGTTTGGCAGAGTGAGCACCACGCTCCTGCACGGAATAAAAACACCAGGAATGGGAGCAKAGGGCGAAGCAGAGCTACCTTTTCCCACAGACAGACACCTCTGCCACCCCTCCCTGGCAGCCAGGGCGGTGCCAGGCACTCCCAGGTCACCTGAGCGAGCCGGGAGAGAAATCACGAGGAATTGATTTTTATTTCTTGAGACCTACTCGGGCTCGCCCTGCTCCCACCTGCGCCGGGCCGCAGGGACGTTCCCAGCTGGGTGTTTTGGGGTGGCTTGGCCCTGTACCTGTGCCGGTGACAGCAGCTCTGCTTCCAGTGTCACCCCACACCGCCGGAAGCAGAAGCACCTGACCCAACCCCTGCAGCCAGCAGAGGACAGAGTGTCCCCCCTGCATCCCCTGCAGGGCTACCACCCCTCGCCCCTTGCGTAGGATTTTGCTGGGGTTTTGTTTTATGACACCTAAAAAAGCCCCAAAACCACGGGAGCGGCAGCAGCAGCACTCCCGGCTCACGGCTCGGCATTCCCGCGGCGCCGCCGGCCCGGCCCGAGCCCCGGGCTCCCCTCCGTGCCTCCGCTGTCCCTGCCACCTTAAAAAGTCCKGTAAGTGAGGAATTCCTTCAGCTTCCTGGGGATGGGCAGCGCCAGCACCTGGTAGGTGGTGAGGAAGGTGCGCAGGGCTTTACGGCACAAGTGCTTGAGCGACGACAGGACCCTAGGGGCTGTCCAGAACTGTACGTGGCCGTCCCTGGTCCTGCAAAGGGATCCCAACAACCCTGAGRAATTCCAGTCCCCCCCAAATATCCCCAATTCCTGCAGCCCAGCCCAGGATTTGTTGAGCTGCGGGAGGAGGGAGCAGCGCCGCGTTTCTCCGCCCTCCTCCTCTGGTGTTTGCTCACCCCGTGGCGATGAACCCTCCRTGGGGGAAGTACATGCAGCACAGCCCGTTGGTCATGGGGGCAAAGGCCACGGGAGAACGAAGCTCCAAGGCCCAGATCCTCAGGAGCCTGGGGAGAAAGGGAGAGGATGCAAAGTGGTGCCTGCTGCCAAAATGGGATCAGCTCAAGGTGTGCGAATTGGAAGATTTGCTTCCTGTGAGCATTTCCCAAGGACTGTCCTTTGCAGAGCAGGTGACGTGCCGAGGGTGGCACAACACCCAGGAGGACACAGATCTCAGCTCAGGGTGACAGGGCCCTGACCTCGTTACCCCTTGTCACAGCCAAGCCATGGTGCTCCCATTCGTTCAACTTTTCCCCTTATTCCAGGAAATGGTGGGGGCTCGGCATATTACCCGTATTCTCAGTTCCTGGTTCGTTTTTCACTCCCAGGTCCCTCCCTGTATCCCCACAMGGGTTCACTCACCTGTCATCTGCCACCGTGGCCAGGTAGAGCCCCTCGGGGGAGAAGCAGACAGAGCGCAGGGAGCTGGTGTGGATCTCACTGCTGGAGTCCAGTGTGGAGTGCAGCGGGACGTGGCTGTGGGTGGGGACAACATCCCAGTGTCACCCCTGGGCTGTCATGAGCCCCTTGCCCAGCTGGGGCTGGCAGAGCAGCCAGGGGCCCCACCAACCCCTCAAAGCAGGGGACAGGTGGTGGCTGTGCCCAGCGAGCTGGCAAAGCCACACCCAGCCCCAAAACCCACCCTGGGACTGCCCTGTCCTGTCCCCCAGTGTCCCCTGACTCCGCAGCACAGTGTAGGGATGGTGGGTGTGACACCAGTGACTCTCGGTGAGCTGGCAAAGCCACACCCACCCCAAAACCCACCAAGGCACTGCCCTGTCCTGGTCCACCGTGTCCCCTGACTCCACAGCACAGTGTAGGGATGGTCCTATCCCCAGTGAGCTGGCAAAGCCACACCCACCCCAAAACCCCGCTGGCACTGCCCTGTCCTGTCCCACGGTGTCCCCTGGCTCCACAGCACAGTGTAGGGATGGTGGCTGTCCCCAGCCCCAAACCTCGCCCTGGCACTGCCCTGAGCCCTGGCAGGGCCGTACCGCAGCGTCCTGAGCTGCTCCCCAGTGTAGGGATCCCACATGATGACACAGGCGTCGTAGGAGGCGGTGACGAGGAGCGCCGAGTCCGGCGAGAAGTCACAGGACACCACGCTGCTCTGGTGGCCCTCCAGCCTCCGGATCAGCGTGTAGGATCTCATGCTCCACAGCAGTGCCTGTGCGACATAGAGTCATCCTCAAATTCCACAAAATTCCCCAAAATTCTCTGCTCCTGACTCCCAGCTCCTGAGGAGCAAAGGCAAGGATGGCCCCTTGTCCCAGGAGGATTTTGGGGACACAGGGATGGCTCCCATGGTGCAGGACTCACCGATTTCTCCCCGGCGGCGGAGCAGAGCATGCTGCAGTCGGGGGAGATGGAGCAGCAATAAACCCACTGCACGTGGCCTGCCAGCACCTGGACCTGCCGCCCTGGGGACAGCAGAAATGTGTCACCAGAGGGGAGCAGGACACTTTGGCCCTGCTCTCCCTGCCTTTCTCCAGTGGGAATTCACACTGGGCTGGGGATTTCCCAGGTAAATCCCAAGGCAATGACCTCCTGCACTTCCCCAGGTTACAGAGCTCAAATCCTGTCCCCAAAGGTCCTCTCCACCTTCCCCGATATCCAGGTTTCTCCCCATTCCCTGATCCACCCCTGGGACACCCCCACACRTTCCTACCGTCCCTGCTCAGGTCCCACACACGCAAGGTCTTGTCCCGCGAGGCCGATACGAGGATGGGGCTTCCATTGGGAGCGAAGCTCAGGTCTCTGACCACATCCTGGTGGCCCAAGAGGCTGAAGAGGAGGTGCCCTGTACAGAGGAGCTGTGCTCAGCACCATCCATCCATGGGGAACAAGGCAGAGCCCTTCATGCAGCCCCACTTGGACAGGGGAGGCATTGGGAAAGGAGGGAGATGGGATCTCCTTCCACAGGGATCAAGGGGAGAGCAGGAGCCCGAAGCCACGACAGCCGCTCACCTGTCTGCACCTCCCACACCTTGATCTGCCCATCGTTGAGCCCGGTGGCCAGGACCAGGCAGGGGAGCCCCAGGGCACAGGTGGGATCGGTGTCACCATCCTCAGCGGCCGGCCAGGCGCTGAAGGCCAGGCCCCACACGATCTGCCCRCACTCCAGAGTCTTCTCCTTGGCTGCCCCACGGTTCCTGGTGTCCGCTTTGCCGCCCCGGCTCTTGCGCTCCGAGGTTTTGCAGCTGCTGGGGGGAGGCAGGGATGGGTGGGGTGGTCACCCTGAGAGCCCCTGCCCCTGCTCTGTGCACCCATCTTCAGCCCAAACTGGACAATATCCCAGCCCTGGGGTCAATCCACGCTGGGGATGAATGCACTGCTGGGGAGCAGCCTCTGGGAGGATTTTGGGCTGGACACGCCCTGGCTCTGAACCCCCCCGTGCCCTGGGCTGATCCCCAGTGGGGGCAGCAGGAAAAGGGGGGGTTCTGCCTCCTGCCCCAGCCCTGGGGTTCCCCAACATCACAAGAACCTGGAGCTGCTGGAGAGAGTCCAGAGGAGGAGCTGCTCCAGGGCTGGAGCCCCTCTGCTCTGGAGCCAGGCTGGGAGAGCTGGGGGTGCTCACCTGGAGAGGAGAAGGCTCCAGGGAGAGCTCACAGCCCCTTTTGGGGCCTAAAGGGGCTCCAGGAGAGCTGGAGAGGGACTGGGGACAAGGGATGGAGGGACAGGACACAGGGAATGGCTTCCCAGTGCCAGAGGGCAGGGATGGATGGGATATTGGGAAGGAATTGTTCCCTGGGAGGGTGGGGARRVGCTGGGATGGAATTCCCAGAGAAGCTGTGGCTGCCCCTGGATCCCTGGCAGTGCCCAAAGCCAGGCTGGGGATAGCGGAAGGTGTCCCTGCCATGGCAGGGGGTGGGATGAGCTTTAAGGAATTATTCCCTGGGAGGGTGGTGGGGGGCTGGCACAAGGTGCCCAGAGAAGCTGTGGCCGCCCCCGAATCCCCGAATCGCTCCAAGGCCCCGCGATCCGCCCGACCCAGCGGGACCCGCCCGCCCCCTCAGCCCCGCCCGCCCCCGCCGCTCCCGCGCGCTTTGCGGAGCTCTCGCGAGATTTCCCGCCATGGCGCCGGCGGGCAG